TAGAGACTCTCTACATCAAATGATTCCATGACGCAGGCACTGTTGGGTCGAAGTTTTGGGGTACTGTTGGGTTGAAGCTTCAGGGAGGGAAGCCTGTTCAGGAACATCTGGGTGTTTGTCAAGTGGGAGGGTATGTATTTGAGAAGCCGCACCAAATTACATTGAGAAACCATGCTATCCGATCAGTGGGACCACCCAGGCAGCTGACGATAGGCCAAACTTTGATCGAGGGGTAGGCAATTGATGCCGAATCGTCCGTTGCTGCGAACCTATGTGTTTTTATCAGCAAGTATGGCACGGGGCAACACGGTGACTGGATTTTGAGCTGTGTTATCAAGGAATGATCCAAACCCGCTGATTTGGAAGTAGTCATCTACACTCGGTTCAGTCTGTGACACTGCGTTTGAAAGTCCTTGACTGAGGGTGGTCGGTAAATAGAGGAGTCTCCCAGATGGTATTTTGTTATGATAACGTCAAGTTGACGGGGAACTACCACGAATTCTCCTCCTTTAGATGATATAAAATGATGAAGATGTTATAAGCGTCTCTTTCTGAAGATAAAAAGTTGGTTTTTTCTGTAAACGGATTATCTAGCGCTGATGTATTTCAGCTTGTTCTTTCCGGGCCGCCATCTCATCTTTCATTTCGATATCCCGTAAATGCAAGTATTAGACTCCAATGCTCATAAATTTGTTTTGAAAATTTTGTTTTTTCGTTGATGAATTAATTACCGATGACGTTTCTGGGTACATGCCAAAAATACTGCTCAGTTGCTAGAAAACTCCTATTGAGCTCTGAAGTTTTGCATTTAATCGTCTCATCGTCTCACTCCGTGAGCCGTCCATCACTAATATCGATCTTGCGTTGATTCTTCACTCTAAATTTTTTTCAAGAGCAACCATTTTTACATTAACAGGATCAATGGAATCAGATGAGAAAGAGAAGAAGTTTAAAACGCCAATGGCTAAAATGATGTATGGAGTGAGTAGTTACGCTCTCCCTTGACCAGAGTTCAGTGAAATTTTGTATCTCTTTCAGCAGCTGTACAAAGAAGGGAAACAAAGTAGATTGGCTACAGCCTTCTTGAGCGGTAGTGATGATGAAGTATGTTTACTTTGGCTTCCGTGAATCAAAATGTGTGCTAAGTATACTCCTGTCAATAATTTCATGTCAAACTTTGCTCTCATACATGTGAACAGATCGGGTCATACTCTATTTGCTAACGGAACCTACTTCTGATTCATCTACACATCTATCACTCCCTTTTGTTGAAAAACTTGACGTTCACTGAAAATATACCGTGGGTATTCTACTAGGTTCCTAGAAATAACAGCCCTTTTGTGTAGATCTCATGTTGCTTTATCCAAATAATTGAGGAGTCGCAGTAAACTACTTCTTCAGATGTAGACTTTGATGATTATGGGTGATATGGTATACATTTTTCACAATCAGAGGTTCATTAATGTCTAGGGTAATGAATGTTAGATAGACGTTTTTCTACAAACAACGTAGATTAACCAAGTGACAATCTATCTCTGACCATTTCTCGTCATCCTGGAACTACAGCCGCCCGATCAGTTGTCGCATGTGTTAAAATAGGCAATAGTTGCAGCAGGGTTGAACTGGATGACTCTTATGGAGCAGAGGCATCCGCTGGGAGCGTGGGTATTTGGATAATAGCCACCAACACTACTTGAAGTTCTCAGTGATCACGGCCATTTCGATGGAAATTTCGCACCGAACACAACGCACATGAAACTATAGTGCCCATTCCCTTTTTTCATGTATTTTTTCGATTTTAGGGTCCCCAACCTGTGCCTAGCGTATTGGCTCGCAGACTTGCCACCGATTTGAAAAATTTGTCTCTTCGTCAGCCACAGAGCCAGGCCGCAGAATTGGAAATGAGAGCGGTTGTGGTATGTGTCTTCACGGGTGGTTATTGGTTCACAGAATACTCCTTTGTAGTAGGGTTAGGTCCGACTCTCACTTTTAGGATCCAACGCCACAATCAACTGATGAACCTATCAAAGTCATAAGAATTTCTTCGTCACCTTCTTCAGATACCGAAACCGATACTTCAGATGAATCTAAATCGACGGTATCCTTGCTAGTCTTTGTATGTTATGTTGGGATTGATTACAGTAAGAGAAGACCTGCTTCAGATTCCTGCGAGTCAGTCGGAGCAGAGCAGCAGTGGTGCTGCTCAACAAATTCAGTCAGCGCAGTTACCAGCTACTGAACGTGATAGCTCTACTTTTTCGAAGGTTAATCTCACATTACACAGCAACTCGGAATACTCTTGCGAATCTTAGTGATGGTCTGATACGGTAACAGCACTTGCTTCAGATTCCTCCATGTCAGCCTGTCCAGAGCAGCAATGTCGCTACACTACTACAGGTGCAACCAGTGTACTACCCAATCGCTGTTGATGATCGCTCTATTTTATCGGAGGTTTGTTCAATTGCATCAGCAAATCCGCATATTAACGAGGAACTAGGGATGGTCAACAGCACTTGCTTCAGATTCCCCCATGTCAGTCAGGCCAGAGCAGCAATGTCGCTACACTACAGTTGCAACCAGCGCACCAACCAGTCACTCTTGATGATCGCTCTATCTTGTCGGAGGTTTATTTTGATTAAATCAGCAGATCCGCATATTCAGGTGGAACATAGAAATGGTCTGATACGGTAACAGCACTTGCTTCAGATTCCTCTATGTCAGGCAGACCAGAGCAGCAATTTCGCTACACTACAGATGCAGACAGCGCCCTTACCAACTGCTAATGATGATCGCCCTACTTCATCGGAAGTTTGTTTTATTTTATGCAGCAAATCTGATACCCGGGTGAAACATAGAGACGGTCTTATATGGTAACAGCACTTGCTTCACATTCAGCCAAGTCAGCCAGACCAGAGCAGCAATGCTGATATTCTACACATGCAACCAGCCCACCACCCAACCGTTATTGATGATGGCTCTATTTTATCGGAGGTTTGTTTTGATTAAATCAGCAAATCCGCATATTCAGGTGTAACATAGTAATGGTCTGATACGGTGAGAGCTCTTGCTTCAGATTCCTCCATGTCAAGCCGACCAGAGCAGCAATGACGCTAATCTACAAATGATTCCTACGAATCAGGCAGAACAGAGCGCTAAAAGTGCAGCTCTACAAGTGATTCCTCCAAATCTACCGGAACGGAGCGCTGGAGGTGCTGCTCTACGTATCCAGCCGTCGCATCAAGTACATAGTGATTGCACCTACGCGGAACCGGTCAATTTTCATTCATTGGAACACATCTGCGCAGTGATCTGGTCTGATGTGGTAACAGTACTTGCTTCAGCTTCCTCCAAGTCAACCACAGGAGAGCAAAAATGCAGATGCTCAACAAATCCAGCTGTCGCAGTTACCAGCTACTGAACGTGATCATTCTATTTTATCGGAGGTTCATCTTACTTTGTTTAGCAACTCAGAATACTCTCGCGACACATAGTGATGGTCTGACACGGTAGCAGCACTTGCTTCAGATCCCTCCATGTCAACCAGACCAGAGCAGCAACGTCGTTACACTACAGATGCAACCAGCGCACCAACCAATCACTGTTGATGATCGCTCTATTTTATCGGAGGTTTATTCAATTGCATCAGCAAATCCGCATATTTACGCGAACCATAGTGACGGACTGATACGATAACAGCAATTGCTTCAGATTCCTCCATGTCAGCCAAACCAGAGCAGCAATTTCGCTACACTACAGATGCAGCCAGCGCCCCTACCAACTGCTAATGATGATCGCCCTACTTCATCGGAAGTTTGTTTTATTTTATGCAGCAAATCTGATGCCCAGGTAAGACACAGAGACGGTCTGATATGGTAACAGCACTTGCTTCAGATTCAGCCAAGTCAGCCGGATCAGAGTAGCGATGCTGCTACACTACAACTGCAGCCAGCGCGTCTACCAACTGC